ACATAAAGAGGGAAAGAATTATTCCACAGGTTTCTCCCAAAAGCACCCGATGTTCCTTCTCTTGCAAGAAAATTTATGTCAGTTAAGGTTCCTAACTTACGAAATTCTATGATGATTTCAGGTATAGAAAAGAAAGAAAGCTTAACCTGAAATGTAGCATTGTATACCCCTTTGTTTTGTCTTGTTAGAATCTTATTTCAACTTAACCGGATGCAGAACTGTGGGTTGAAGAATCCTGACCTCAAATCGAGGAGAAAGCCAGCACGCCTTCTGAGATATGTTACACAGAGTTGTGAGCGACGAATGAGAGACTCGACTCCTTAAACTTGCCTTCATCCAACTATGCTTCACAGATAGTTTAATTGCCCTCATGCAATGCTCTCATGTTCGTACATCATCGATGGTTTGCGTTGCGTCATCAAATGTACGATACTTCTCTTGCAAAAAGAAAAAAGAAAAAGAAAAAGCAAACATGTAATAAAAGCAGAGTTAGAAATACCTGTTCCCGGTTTTTTCCCTATTACATTTGCATCCAACTGCACCCCATCAACGTCCTCATCTTCCGTCGCTTAATTAGTTTCTTCACCTTGGCAGCATCTACTGTCCTCCCAGCATCCGCCAGAGCGCTCGACAGAAGCACGCAGCTCCCTGCGCTCTCTGGCTCGAGTTCTAACAAATGCGAAGCTGCCAGTTCAGCGAGCTCCACGTTGCCGTGCTTCCGACTCGTCGCCAGCAACGCTCCCCACACAAACGCGTCTGGCTCCATGGGCATCTCTGCGATCAAGCGACAGGCCCCCACGAACTCCCCAGCTCTGCCTAGCATGTCCACCATGCAAGCGTAATGCTCCAACCTCGGCTCTATCCCGTGTGCCTCCTCCATCAACCGGAACAAGCTCTTGCCCAGCTCCACCATTCCGCCATGGCTACAAGCGGAGAGAACCGCTGTAAACGTCAGATGATCTGGTTTCGCTCTCTCACCCTCCATCTGATCGAAAAGCTGGATGGCCTCGTGGCAGTGCCCCTGATTCGCGTACCCAAATATCATCGAGTTCCATGACACCGTGTTCCTCTCCTTCATGTCATGAAAGATCTTGCTCGCTTCAGCCACGAGGCCGCATTTGGCGTACATGTCGATTAGCGCACTGCCGACGTACAAGTCCCGTCCAACTCCCGCGACCAGGGCGTAGCCGTGAATCTCTTTCCCGCGTCTCAAATCCACCAGGTCGGCGCACGCCGGCAGAAGACTACTGATCGTCACAGAGCTCGGCCGGATTCCTGCAGTCTTCACCATGTGCCTAAAGATCTCGAATGCCTTGCCGTAGTTGAAATTGACCACCAACCCAGATACGATCGAGGTCCAGGAAAACGTGTCGGGATCGACCCCGTCGGACTGCATCGTCCTCAACAAGTCCATAGCTGTATCATCTTCGCCCTTGTGAGCGAACCCGAAAATGAGGGCGTTCCACGTTACGAGATCTGGTTTTACCCCCAGAGACCTCATCTTGATGGAGAGAACCATGGCGGCCTCTGCCGCGCCTTGGTGGGCGTAGCCCGAAACCACGGAATTCCAGACGACCAGATCCTTGTCAAGCGTTGCGTCGAACACATGGCGGGCGTCGGGAACTCGCCGGCACTTGCAGTACATGTCGATCAGGGCACTGCGGACGAAGGCGTCGCGGTCCAGCGAGGAACGGAGGGCGACGGCGTGCGAAGCTCGGCCGGCATCCGGATCGGCAAGGCGGGCGCAGGCTCGAATGACGCTGGGGAGGATGCAGCGGTGCGGGGCGAAGCCTTGCCCGCGCATCTGGTGGAAGAGGTGGAGGGTGCGGCGGTGGAGGCCCTGACGGGAGGAATGGTTGATGAGGGCGATCCATCGGCTGGCATCTGTCTTGGACATCTCCTGGGATATAACTGCTGCACCGTGGACTCATGCCATGGAGGGATGGATGGACGCAGAATAGGAGTGACAGTTACTCTGACCGAGACCAAGGCGGCCTCCCGTTTGGATCTGGGCAAGACTTGCTATATTATGTGAGGACAGCGGCGTCCATCGAACCAAAGACTCCTTTATCCACCTCACGTTCGCCGATCTCATACCGCAACCGAAGCCTTGGCATGTGGGGGGGTGACGACAAATATAACCTCTTCCTCTCGCCACCCGAGACCTTCCGACGCATCATCTTCTCCCTTGCATCCTTCCGCTCTCGTGATCAACCATGGAGGTCAAGATCCCGCGACTAATTGATACCAAGGCCGGCAACGAGCGCAAGAAGCCATCCAGCCGGCTCCAGAAGCAAGCACCGGCGACGCTGCAGCTCGACGCCACGAAGCGCAACACCGCCTTCGTGATGGGAGCCGATGACGCCGCTGCTTCCGCTCCCATCCCCTTGTTGTCCCCGCTCCTTCTGTCTCCTTCCCCGTTGTGGGACGCCGAAGAATCAAACTCTGCGGGGGAGGATAAAGGTGACGGCGGCGGTTCGCAGACGTCGTCGCCGGCGTCTCCGCCGGAGGGATGGCATCACCCGGCTCTGCCCGTGGCGGCGATGGAGCCCGCATCCCTGGTGCCTAGCTTTGAGTTACAGTGCTCCATGGTGCACCATGTGCAATAGCTGGTTTGTTAGAAGACGCAACCACCTCCCTGAAGGTTTAGACGATGTTGTAGGCGAATTTGTTTGATATTACTTTTTCCTCTTAATCCTTCTCGTTGCCTGTGATATTGTGATGCTGCCGCATCGGGCATCAGATGCCCTTTTGCTGTCGACCTGCTAGTAAAAAATAGATCCATTGAAGCTGTGGAATTTTGTGTGTTACAGAGGTAAAGTGAGTGTGCGGAATCAAGTGGAATAGAGAAACGGGACAGCGAGCTCACCATCGGAAAGAGCATCTCAGTGATAGGGCCGCGTTCCTCTGGATGGACAACCTCTCGATGGTGCTGTGGCTGATGATGTCGTCCTGCACCATCCTTGTTTCCCACATCTCGGATCTTTCCCTGGGAACTGTAATAAGCCCACAAGAGCTTCGAAGTCCCAGAATCGAAGAGAAAGAACGGATTACCGCCTGGATCTAGTTGAGCACGCTCTCCAGGGCTCTAGTGGATAAAATCGTCGCGGATCTTGCTGATGATGTCTTCCACCCCATGAACGGCCGGCGCCGAGGTTGTTCGCCATTTCCAGCGACCGATCGCCCCACCAGCGATGGAAGAATCCCTGAGAGAACCGATAAGAGGCGACGATTTGGGGAATGCAGGCCGTCCGCCAAGAGGATTCGCTAATCAGTGTTGGGGGTTATTCTTGGGATCTCCGCGAGCGGTGGGAAGGGGGAAGATGGTCTGTCGCTGAGGGAGGGCGAGCCACTAAGCGAAGAATTTAAATCGAAGGCGAGGGCGGCGTCGGAGAGGCGTGCGCGCCAGATCTCGTTGGATCAAATTGAACCTAATGGAGCCGGATCGAACCAGATCGATACGGGTTATGCAGCGTAATTTATAGGTTAGATAATTCGGGTCGGGTTCCGGCAAATCCTTGTAGTTGGAATCCGACCCGCGAGTTCTACTCGTAACGTGTGGGTACGCGTCGTAGAACAAAGGTCTGGCGTCCAAATTCCGGTCGCAGATAATGATTACATGGCGTCCTTCTATTGGTTACTTTATACACCAAATCCATCCTCATGCCACGTCACCAAGCTACCGCCACTTTCACCATCCCACGTAGGACGGACTACGGTCTCCGCCTTCGCTCATGGCTCCTGCGCTCACCTCCACCTCCTTCCGCCTCTACGGGAAACCTGAACTCAAGTCCAATAGGGCGACGACGACGTGTTGGTGTAAACAACTTTAAGTCGTGGCCTCGGGGTCGACGCGGCTCGGTTTGGGTCCGGATGATGGGGGATCTTCCTGGGACGCTCCTCGAGACTGCTGAGATGGCCGATTACGGTGTCTCGATTGGGACGGGGTCGCTACTCCCTCCGGGCAATGACTCCTTGCCTGTGCGTTTAGTGGGTGGCCTCCGACTTCGCACCTGCACAAAGGTCGGGTCGGGGAGCTCGGCCTGACTCCTCCGATGATCAAGTTAGTGGATAGTCGCATGGGGTTTTTTAGCTAAGTTGTTTCTTGCTTGTGTGCCTCCTCTCTTCCTTCTTGGTGCCCAAGGGTTTTTATAGTGAGAATTACCATTGCATGATGCGCCTACCCGCAGGGAGCAGGATCGTACTTCTGGTAGCGTCTGACATTGCCGTTGGCGTGGCGTGGGGGATCAAACCTGAGCAGGGTGTTAATGTGCCTTGGTAGGCATTCTGGTCCGCTTTGACTGGGTGCCTCATCAGGTCAACAGAGGCGCGAGGCATCATCTGGGGCAGTTGATGTCACGCGAGTCTTATCGTAATTATTACCCTCATCATATTCTCCCTCGAAGGAAGCTATGCGTCGGTTGCTAGGATGGGAGTCCAAGGCATGGCTTCGGCTTTGAAAAACTGTCCCTACCGGGCGTCTGCCGGTCCGCTACCAGGGGTATGGGAATCGTGGAGTTTAGTAATTAAGAAGGGTTGGATGTGCAACGATGACCCTGGGTAGTGTGCAGCCGAGGAGCACAGCTCAGCCGAGCAAGCCGAGCAGAGGCTGTGGTCTCGGGCAGCATGGAGCCGAGGATCACGACTCAAGCGGGCAGGCCGCGCAGAGGCTGTGGTCTCGGGCAGCATGGAGCCGAGGAGCACGACTCAGGCGGGCAGGCCACGCAAAGATAGTGGTCTCGAGCAACATGCAACCGAGGAGCACGACTCAGGCGAGCAGGCCACGCAAAGGTAGTGGTCTCGGGCGTCATGCAGCCGAGGAGCATGACTCAGGCGGGCAGGCCTCGCAGAGGTAGTGGTCTCGGGCGACATGCAGCCGAGGAGCACGACTCAGGCGGGTAGGCCGCGCAGAGGTTGTGGTCTCGGGTGACATAAAGCCGAGGAGCACGACTCAGGCGGGTAGGCCGCGTAGAGGTTGTGGTCTCGGGCGACATGAAGCCGAGGAGCACGACTCAGGCGGGTAGGCCGCGCAGAGGTTGTGGTCTCGGGCGACATGAAGCCGAGGAGCACGACTCAAGCGGGTAGGCCGCGCAGAGGTTGTGGTCTCGGGCGACATGAAGCCGAGGAGCACGACTCAGGCGGGCAAGCCGCGCAGAGGTAGTGGTCTCGGGCGACATGCAGCCGAGGAGCACGACTCAGGTGGGCAGGCCGCGCAAAGGTTGTGGTCTCGGGCAGCATGTAGTCGAGGAGCACGACTCAGATGAGCAAGCCACGCAGAGGTTGTGGTCTCGGGCAACATGGAGCCGAGGAGCATGACTCAGGCGGGCAGGTCGCGCAGAGGTAGTGGTCTCGGGCGACATGCAACCGAGGAGCAACTTGGTCTTAATCAGCAATTCATTGCTTAGTGGTGCGCGGGCGCGGGAGGCCAGGTCACTTCCTAGGGAAGCCCAGGGGACTGTCACTTTCGGGAGTCGCTGGTTTTCGAGGCTGATAAGATCAACGCTTCAGCATTCGCACCGCGCGTCGGTTGGCTACCACGTCATGCCATATTTATGGCGAAGTGATGTTTGGTCTGCCTGACGCAACGTGCTTCAAAAGAGGAAGGGTCGCCGTTTGGGCGGGATTTGGCCTATAAATAGCGTGCAGTTGGCTTCATGCACGTCTTTTTACTTGCATTCGCCCAGTTGCTTCTTCGGACTGTGTTGCTCTGTCCGAATCGGCTATCCTGCTGTTCCTTCCTAAGATCGGTGAGGATGGCTTCCTCTTCTTCCTTGCATCTGCCTTCTTCACCATCCACCTCCGGTAATGCCGGAGAGAAAATATTACCGTCAAGCCCCAACTCGTCATCCGACGAAAAAGCGACTAGGGCTCTCAAAGCCTTAATGTGGCCACACGACCTCGACTCCACCATGAGCGAGTCGTCACTTGGTTACCTCCAGGGCCAATATGGTATCCCGGAGGAGTTTATTCTTACCACCCCTGAGCCAGGGCCACGGGTGTACGACCCTATCCCAAAGGGTTTCGCCCTGACTTTAGATGCCTTCGAGGCCGGGCTACGCCTCCCATTGCATCTCATCATTACCTCTTGCATTTCGTGGTGGCATATTTCTCAGTCACAGATGGCACCGAACTCCTGACGCTATCTGGTGGCGTTCCTAAGGGAGTGCCACTATGCCAACATTACCCCGACCCGGTCCCTCTTCCTCTCCTATTTTCGTCGTTTCAAGGGGTCGAGGGGTTATTATCTGTCCGCCCGAGCGGGCTTCCGGGTTAGCGGGTCTCCTTTCAGTAATAAAGGATGGAAAGGGCGTTTCTTTTTTGTCTGCCGTTCGGAGGACTGGGGCTTCGGGCTCCTGTGGGCGACTCACGTGATTGACAACACCACCCCGTCCCTAAATGATGATGAGTGTCGTGACCTTCGACGACTCAAGGAGATTCTCCCAGTCTCCCGGGCTATCCGGTAGATGACCGAGGGGTGGCTGATCGAGGCGGGTCTTAGCCCGGCGCCTCGAGGTATGCCCACAGCGGGTAACGTTAGGGTTTTCCTAAGGATCGTTTTTTGTGTTCTGACCAATGTCGGTGTTTTTGTGCAAAGATAGTGAACCTCGTCGTCGTGCGCGGGGGGGCGCTCTTCGTCGGTCACGTCGTCACGTCAAACGGTCGAGCTCGGGGTCGACACAAAAGAAGCGCCGGTAGAACTTGAGGCCAGTAGGCCCCGAAATAAATCTAAGATCGGCGTCCAGAAGGAGGATATGCCACCATCTCGGGCCAGGGAGGTCATTGTCGAACCGGGCCATCATGATCGGCGACAAGGCCCTGGTCGGTGTGAAGCTGGACCGAGTAATGAGGTGGCAGGGAAGGCACCCCGGGAACCCTCCATTCGCGACCTGTGTCGACCCGCTCGGATGATGGGCGGACTCCCGGAGGGCCAACCCTCTGACCCGCTGGTCGCCCGGTGGGCAGGCCTGACCCGCGGGACCCGAGTACGGGCTAACGGGGAGGCCGCGACCTCCTTTGCGTGAGGCGGGTTTCACCCCGACATAGCTCGGGATCTGTACACCTTGGCCTCGGACATTTTGTTGGGCAAGTCCACTAAGTCGTTGTTGTGGGTAAGCGTCTTGCTATCGACTTCCTGCCTATGTCCGAACGCTACTTGTCCTGACTCTTTCTCTTGGCAAGGCCATCACTATACCACGGTGTTGATGGACAGTGTCTGTGATGCGGGTCGGGCCCTCGGCGTTTTGAGCGACCGCAACGCCGAGTTACGTCGGGAGATTGAGGAGGTCCGCCTGGGGGCGACTCTAGAGGCGGTCGCTGCGGTCGAGCAACGTGCCTCCGATCTTTAGGCGGAAGTGATGCGCTTCTCCTCCATCTCGAGAGCGGCTTGGCAATGCGTCTCGGAGCTGGAGGCGGAGTCGGCGCGCCTCACATCAGAGGTGAAGGCGGCAAAGGATCAGAATAACAAGCTCCAGACGCTCCTGAGGGTGATTAGGACCGAGGCTCGTCTGGCATGGGATGAGGCGGCGGGCCTTGCTCGAAAGCTAGTGGAGGCTCGTGCTGAGATGAAGGGGGCTTCCGACGCCCTAGCTACCGAGGTGAGTCAGCGGCCAGAGAAAGACAAGAAGCTGATCGAGGACTACAAAGAGTCCTTGGGCTTTCAGCTCGGTCAGATCCGGTCGGGGTAGGTTACAAATGAATATGGGTACCGGATTGCCTAGCTTGTTTTAAGGCGCACCACCCTAACCTAGAGGTCGAAGAAAACCCCTTCGCTTCCTGCCCCGAAGACCTGAGCGTCGACATGCCAAACGAGGTCCCTTTCGACGACAGCGCCGAAGCCTCCAAGAAATAGGGTAGAATTTTGTAATAACCTAAGGGTCTGGTATGGAGTTGTCACTTGTCTGGTCCTGTAATCAGATTTTGACTTCAATAAAACTTCTTGTTTTCAGCTTTCTATCTTGTCGACTTCACCTTTCCTTTACACGAAGAATTTCTTGAGATTTTGCACGTTCCACGTTCTCGGCAAAGGGTGGCCCTGCACGGTCGCATGCCGATATGTGCCGACTCGGACGACGTCGATAACTTGATAAGGTCCTTCCCAATTGGGGGCAAGTTTGCCGTGCGCTTGGGTTATGTCACTGACTTCGGTCTTGCGCAGGACCAGGTCACCTAATTTAATCGGTTGAGGTTGTACCTTGCGGTTATAGATTCTTGTGACGACCCTCTTGTAAGAGAGGTCTTTCATGTGCGCGTCAGCAAGCCTTTCATCGTAGTTCTCTATCCGAGGGGTAGGAAAAACCACTTCGGGGGTTAGGACGACCTCTGTTCCGAATGAGAGGCTATAGAGGGATTCTCCGGTTACGATTTTGGGGGTGGTCCACAGGGACCATAAGATACTAGGGAGCTCTTCCACCCAAGCCGATCGGGCCGTAGTTACTCTTCTCCTGAGTCCGTCTAGAATAGACCGGTTGGTCACCTCGGCCAATCCATTCGTCTGGGGGTGGGCCACAGAGCTGAACCTCAGCTATATCCCATAGTTCGCATAGAACTCTCGGAACCTCGTCCTGGCGAACTAGGATCTGTTGTCCGTGATGACGGTTCTGGGCAAGCCGAACCGAGTCACGATATTTTTCCAGACAAACTTCTCCACTTGTCGTTCTGTGATCGTTGCTAGTGGCTCGGCCTCAGCCCACTTGGTGAAGTAATCCACTCCCATGATGATATATCATCGTTGCCCCGAGGCTGGTGGGAAGGGGCCGAGGAGGTCCAATCCCCATTGAGTGAATGGCCACGCACAGTCAATGGGGGCGAGCAGAACCGCCGGCTGCTGGGGCGTTCGGGCGTGCCTCTGGCACGAGCCGCACCGCTGTACGTAAGATCTTGCGTCTCGGGACATGGTGGGCCAGTAGTATCCTTGACGAAGGATTTTGTAGGCCAAGGTTCGACCAGCGATATGCTCTTCGCAGATTCCCTCGTGGACCTCGGTCAGGACTATTTGAGCTTCTTTGGGCTCGAGGCACCGTAGTAGAGGGTGCGAAAAGGACCGCTTGGAGAGTCGTCCGTTCACCTCGGAGTACCATGCCTGCGTTCGACGGATGCGCCGAGCCGCAGCCTCGTCGGCGGGAAGAATTCCGTCGCACTTGAAGTGCAGCATCTCCTGCACCCATGTGGCACACGCATTGGCCGAGGATATAGCCGAGACTGAGATGGCGTGAAAGGGGAGCCTTTCGATCTCGAGCTGGGTTCTAGAGTCCGACTTTGAGGTCAGTTTAGCCAGCTCGTCGGCTCGCTCGTTCTGGCTTCTTGGCACCCTATTTATCGTGAAGTGAAAAATTGGAGGCTAGGCTTTTTACCTCCGCTAGGTACTTCGCCATGGTTGGTTCCCTGGCCTCGTATCCGCCACTGAGCTGCTCAGCTACCAGCTACGAATCGGTGAGGACGTGGATGGCGTCCACCTGCATCTCGCGGGTCAGTCTGAGACCTGCCGAGAGTGCCTCATATTCGGCTTCGTTGTTGGTTGCCTGGAACTCGAAGCGGAGGGAGCGCTCGAACGAACGCCCGTCGGGGGCTGATAACACCAGTCCCGCGCCGTCACCGCTCGAGGTGGACGAACCGTCCATGTGCAGGATCCACACTTCCCCAGGTTGGCCGGGAACATCATCCTCAGTCTAGATGAGTTCTGAGATGAAGTCGGCTACCGACTGTGCTTTGATGGTAGTCCTTGGTGCGTAACGTATGTCGAACTGCAATGTCAAATTTAGATAAAACCTGTCTGAGTTGTTGGTCGGTGATTACCTCAATCAGGTGGGCTTGGAAGTAGGGGCGCAGCTTCCGGGTCATGAGTACGAGCGTCAGAGCAAGTTTCTCAATTGGTGGGTATCGTTCCTTAGGCCCATTCAGGACATGACTGACGTAGTAGATCGGTAGTTGCTCACCGAAGGCTTCTTTAATCAGGACGGAGCTGACACCGTGCCGGGAGGCAGCCAAGTAAATACTGAGTTTTTCCCCGAAAGAGACCGAGGCAAGGCGAGGGAGGTTGGCTAAGTGTTGTTTGACTTGTCTGAAAGCTTCTTCACACTGCATCGTCCATTGGAAGTCCTTCGGGTTTTTCAGTGCCTAGAAGAAGGGGAGGCAACGATCACCCAATCGGGATAGAAACCGGGACAAGGCAGCGAGCCTTCCGTTCAGTCACTGTAAGTCCTTGATTGTTCGGGGGGTTTGCATATCGATAATCGCCTGGACCTTTTCCGGGTTGACGTCGATTCCTCTTTCGTGTATAATGAACCCGAGGAATTTTCCCGAGTTGATGCAAAAAACACACTTTGCTGGGTTGAGTCGCAGACCATACCTCCACAGTGTGGCAAATGTTTCGGTCAAGTTGGTCAGGTGATCTGCCGCCGCACGGCTCTTCACGATCATGTCGTCAACATAGACCTCGACGTTCCGCCCGATCTGTTGGGCAAACATCTTGTTCACGGCTCTCTGATAGGTTGCAGCTGCATTCTTCACTCCTAGATCGGTGAGGAAGGCCGTGTGCTCTTGGTCCTCGGGCGCCATTCTGATCTGGTTGTAGCCGGAGAAGGCGGTCCATGAACGAAAGGCGGGCATGCCTGGCAGTTGCGTCGACCAGCTGGTCAATCCACCAGTCCCAATCGTGCATGCCCAAATGACTGCTATCCCCTCTCGGGAGGGGATAGCAGTCATTTGGGCATGCATGATTGAGACTGGTGTAGTCAACACACATCCTCCAGCTCCCATTAGATTTCTTCACCAGAACTACATTAGACAGCCATCGCGGGTACTTGACTTCCTATATGAAGTCAACTGCCAAGAGTCGCTCCACCTCTTCGCGGACGACCTATTGTCTGTCTGGAGCTTGGTGTCACGATTTCTGCTTCACTAGCCAGGCATCGGGTGATATGTTCAGGTGATGCTGGGCTGTCTTTGGGTCGACGCCCGTCATGTTAGATGGCGACCAACTGCTCCCGCTCCTGCTCGGGGAGCTGCTCCCGCTCCTGCAAGAAGCCGACGAGCTGCTCCCGCTCCTGCTCGGGGAGTTTCGATCTAACTTTGATTGTCTAGTCTGGCCGATCCTTTATTAACGGTATGTCACAAGTGGGCGCCGTCGGCTCAGGATGTGGGGTCGGCTACTTCGTCTCCCTTGGGTCCTCCAGGGGTCGGTCAGTCTTTGCCCTTTGGTGTAGCGAAACTGCCGTTAAGTAGCATTATCTGGACTCACGAGGGCTCCCCCAGACCTCCCCTATCCCCGCATAGGTCGGGAACTTCACCGTCTTGTGGTAGGTGGAGACTACGGCTCTAATCTTGTTGAGGGTGGGGCGACCGAGGATGGCATTGTATGCCGTAGGGAGATCCACCACTAAGAAGGTGGACAGCACCGTCTTTGTCCTGGGAGGTGCTCCTAGAGTCAGGGGCAAGGTGACGGCTCCCAATGGTGAGATCGAGTCATCGTTGAACCTTATGAGCGCCGAGCAGATAGGCTCCAAGGCCTATTTGGTTAACCCAAGTTTCTAGAAAACGTCAAGGTAGAGCATGTCGGCTGAGCTCCCCGTGTCGATCATGATTCTCCTCACCTGGGCGTTGGCGATTCAAGCCATTATCATGAGCGCATCATCGTGCTCTGGTCGCTCAACGTCCTCGGGAGGGAACGCGACCTCGGGGTCGGGGCCGCGTCGGGGAGCATCAGCCCTAGCGGAACGGGTGTATGCCTTCCTTACGGACATACCGATCCCACCGGATGCTGGGCCGCCCGTGATGACGTCGATGTGGCGCTCAACGGGGCCCTCCGGATGGGGCAAGGGTTCCCTATTCTGTCGGACGTACCGACTGAGGTGTCCTCTATGGACGAGCTCCTCGATTTGCCGCTTCAGCTCGCGGCACTTCTCAGTATCATGCCAGCTTTGCCAGTGAAAGCGGTAGTACTTGGATTTGTCAACGAGTTCCCGTGGGTTCTTCATCGGGACGGGGGGCCTGAGCAGCCCTTTTTCCCTTATTTGGAGAAATATCTCCGTTCGGGATGCGCCCAAAGAGGGCAACATGGTCCTCAGCGCCGGCGAGACAGACCGGTCCACCCTGCGCCTCGGCGTGGCGGATGGTTGTCCCCGGGCTGGCTCCGGCCTAACTCTCTTGTGCTCCTCTCGCTTCCCGACCATCTAGGCCTTGGCCGTGATGAACTGGTTCGCGCGTTGAAGCATCTCGGGCACCGCGGTGGGGGGTCGCTCCACGAGGGACCAGAAGAACCTCGAAGGATGCAGGCATATCATAAACGCTTGCATCAATAGAGAAGGATGAGCGTCCGATAATCCCCGGATCTGTGTTGCAAAACGATTCACAAAATGGGAGAGGGGCTCGTCCTCCCTCCCTCTGGTTGAGTCCGAGGAGAAGCGCAACGAAAGGTTTTGGCCATGCATAGGCCAAGAAGTTGAGCTCGAAGTCCTTGACGAGCTGGTCGAAAGAAGTGATCGTTCCGGTCTTCAAGGCACTGTACCATGCGCGGGCCGGCCCTCTCAGAGTGGTGGGGAACGCTTTGAACATCAAAGAATCAGAGGTTTCGTACATTGCCATCTATTGGGAAATCTTGGGGGCGACATCACATGCGCAGCGAAAGAACAAGAAAACAAAATCCCCGATTCCCAAAGAGATATTCGTCATTGTGCAAAGATTGGTGTGCAAAATCCGTAAAACTTAAAACTATGTATAGAGTAGATTGTGTTACATAGGGAGATCGTATATCCCTGTTTCCTTGCAGATCTTTAGGAGAGGGTGAAGGAGGTCAAGCGGCCTCCTCTCTAGCAGTGATCCACACAGTAGGGTTGCGACGACGCTCCTCAAAACTCTAGGCCTACTCTGGGGTGGAGAGGGGGAGGAGAATAAGAAAGGCAAGCAAAGGCTCTAGCTTATGAGGCTCTGAATCCCTCCTATTTATAGAGGTCCCCTGTCAAACCCTAATGGATCCTCCCCTAGTGGGTATTGGATCTGCATCCAATAAGACAAAGGCTCCGTCAGATATCTCATATCCGAACCTCTACTCATCGTAATGCCTACCATATGTGTGTGACCCTCTAGGCCCAATATCGAGCTGGCCGTGAGTCATACCTATCAGAACTCTTTCTAACTCAGTGAATTATTATCTCTGTAATAATTCACTCGACTCATCGACTACGGACGTACTAGGCCACTACGCCGTAGTCCCCAAACGATACAGGGGAATCCAATCCATTGGACCTGTCTGTCCTCAGTTACCGTGTACCTATATTCCCTCATCCATCTAATATCCCAGAGACCGTGTATTATCGAGCATGGTGCTGTCAAACCCATACGGTTTCTACTCGAGTCTTGCTCTAATCGGATTCTCCCGGAGAACTCTTTCTCTCTCAACCCGAATGACCCTAGCCAGGGATTTGTTTGAGCAAGAACACATGGGATATTCCTCTCATGACGCCGAGAGTGGATGATCCTCTATCGACACTCAATAGCCCTCGTAAGGTCGACTACCACTCCCAATGACCAACTGTACTAGATCTAGGACAGCCAAACCTATAAGTCTAGTATTAAAGAGTGGAGCACTCATACAGGACATCCTTGGTGTCTCAAGTCTAAGGACCAGATATACCATTAGGACTACGGAATCGCTGTCTGACAATAAGGCATCATCAACCATCCAGCATTTCGTAAGCGGATTAATCAGTGAACTCATTCTCCAATGAGCACCTGTACTGTATCCCTAGTGTCCCTACACGAGCAGCTATGAGACCAACTGCATCCATCATATGGACGGGTATACAGCACACCAGTCTATCCGGTTATCACGATGTCCCTCTCGAGTAACCTATGACCGGGATTATTTATGATATGTGTTTAAAGGTGAATCGATCTAATTATCGTGATCTCATC